CGCCGCCGGGGCCCGCCGTCCCCTGCCCCCCCTGCGCCAAAATGGGCCTCGGCTGCTCGTCTCCCGCCACCGCAGGCAGGGCCTCAAGGCGGGGCAGCCCTTGAAGGGGAGCCGCCCGGGCAGGGCCAAAAGGCAGAGGTGCCGCAGGGCCTGGGCCGCCAGGCCCAAAAGGGCACTCCTTCGAGCCGGAGTCGAACCAGCGACCTAAGGATGGCCGTGCAAGGGAGCCTACAGTCCTCCGCTCTACCAGCTGAGCTATCGAAGGAATCATGGGACACTGACACATCACGCCTTCCTCACACTCTCATCCAACCATTCAGCTCTCACACCACTCCCGCATCCCTTCAGCAGGAAGGAAGGAAGGAAGAAAGGCTTTTGCCTTACACCCACATCGCGCAGAACCTCTCCGGACCGCAACACCCGCCCAGGACACGCCCAGGCACCGTGCCTTGCTCTAAGAGACACACGAAGCTACCCTTGCCAGGGCCAGGCAGACACAACGGAACGCCACCACCTCACCGCACACGTCACAGGTCACAGCCGTGATCACGTCCCACGCGGGCCAGGCGGGTCCAGACGGGCAAGCCAGGCCTGAGGTCAAGACACAACATCCGCCTGCTCCTCAGCATCTGCATCAAGCCTCTCTGCGGCTGGCCATAGCCCTTGGCATAGCCGTACGCACGGCTGAGCTAGAGGCCAGCAATCCTGCCACGTACCACAGAAAGAGAGTGAAGGCCCAGACCTGAACGCAAATACAGCTCCTGGACCCACGGGTGGAGGTGGAGGCCCCGCGCGAGGCTGGTCAGGGCCATTCAGGGCCTGAATGACCTACTAGGGCACTCCGGGCCCGGAGGAGACACAAAGGTAGCCATGCGAGGGAGCCTGCGGTCCTGCGCTGCACCAGCAGAGCTACTGACGGGCCGGCAGGGCCCTCTCCCAGCTCTGCCTCCACGACGGAGCTGTCAAAGCAATCAGCGTGGATGAGACCTCAGCCCATGTCTCTTCCAGCAGCGTCCTCCAAGCACCCCCAGACCAGGGATCCCAGCAGCTTGCTCAGAGCTTCAGCCAGTCGGCTCAGGCCAACCTCCAAGCAAGGAGACTGCACAGCACTCCGGGGCACCCTTCTTCTCCCGCCTGGCTGTCCTGATGGGAGAAAAAATTGAACCTGCCCTGCTCCAGTTGTGGCCCGTTGCTTCTCAGTCCTCTGCCAATCACCACGGTAAAAAGCCTAACTGTTGAATCAATACCCTCCTGATAGGCATTCTGATAAACTGCCGCTTCTCTCCCCCAAAGCCCCTCTTCTCCCGGCGCCGGGCAAGCCCACGTCCATTGGCCTCTCCTCAAAGAGCAAGTGCGCCTGCTCCCAACCGTCCGGGTGGCCTTGTCCTGAGGTCGCTGCGCTTGGCTAATGTCTGTTTTCTACACAGAGGCCCAAAGTTGGTATTCTAGATGCCATCGACCGGATGTCGAGCAGAGGTGCGGAATGCCTTCCCTCGGTGCAGAGCCCAGGCTGCTCTTGGTGCAGCCCGGGATGCTGTCCCCTACGGTGCCGGGCAGGTGCACGCCCAGATCCACACAGCCCCCAGCGGACAGGGGTCCCGCTCCCAGGCAGAGGGCCTCCTTGTGTCCAGGCAAGGGGAACGAAAAGCGTTGGAGAATGCGGGCATCGATCCCGCTGCCTCTCACATGCTAAGCGAGCGCTCTACCACTTGAGCTAATTCCCCAGCCCGCGGCCTCTGCCGGGGGGGCTTCTCCCCTCCCAGGCATCCACCCCTGACCTGACCCCTCATACTAAGCTTCCCATTGACAGAGGTGCTGAACATATTTCTCTTACTTGATTTCAGTGAGTTTCCCATCCATGTTGTAAGATGGCTTTTTCTCTGCTTGCTGTCACTTTTTTCTCCGAAACACATCGCATTACTTTTGGCTGTGAAGGTCTTCAGTGGTCAGTTGTCCTACGGTGGTGAAAGAGAAGGCCAGTTATCATAAGAAAAATCTGAATGGACATAAATCCATTTGTTTGGTATGGAAGGTAGCCAGTGAACTCCTGTGTTCATTTCACTCTGTTTTTTGGCTCCTTCCTTTTTCTCTACTCATAAGCAACCGCGATTATTACATAAGCATGAATGTCAGTTTTCCAGGGACCCTCAGGGAAGCTTCTATATATTGATACTTATGTCATTCTTTCTTTGGTTGGACCTAACCAAGTCCTTCTTTCACTCGTATTCATTGCACTACTAGTATATACATCTTTTTCCCATTACTAAATCATCTCCCCTTTGTATATGTCATCTTTTGGTGCAAGGAGTTGTTTTGTTAATGTACCATTTTTACTGAGGACAGTTTTCCAAAAATCAAAATAAGAACATATCTCATCCTTTGTTAACTCTACTACATTGAAAGTAATTCTGTTAGTATTCTAAAACAATCCTAAGTAAAGTGAGTGTGCAACTAGTATCTGTCATCTTTTTGAAAGTACTTTCTGTTCAAATTTGTATTTTGAATGAGGTTGTTGGGGAATATGTAATGGGTTTGTGGGAAAAGAAAGAAAGGCTGGTTATTGACTATCTGATGCCTGTAACCACGCATAGGTTTTGAAAGTAATACCTCTCCCATTTGTTTTTTTTTTTAATTCTGATTGCTGGGGTTTGTTTTCAGCTAAGAAAAGGGATCGATTGCATAAGCTACTTAAATACTTGGATGGCACAAAATGTCATTAGTCATGCAAGACTTAGCTTGTTTTTCCAGTTCTCCTATTTCATCTTTTATTATGTTTAAGGTACTACATGTTAGATATGACTGAAAATGTATGTTTAAGCTACCACAGGCACAGTATATTAACTGGGACCGAATATGAACCCCTTCATGCTATTAGAGACATGTTTAAGGAGTTATATATTATCTATGAAAAGATGAGTTGGGTTCAGCGTACAGAACTGAAGAGATCATTGGCAGAGGCTGTTCCCAGGCTCATGGTATTGGCAAAATGTCTCCAAGGCAGGAATTGTCGTCAGGGGCAAAGCAGTTACATTTTGCTTGGGGAATAACCTGCACTGGGACTTGCATTGAAAGTCAGGCAGGACCCTACTCTGAGGATAAATTTGTTAGAATAAGTGTGGGCACACTGCCATCACACCACAAATAATATTTTTTGGCATAACAGTCATGGCTAGCTCCTGAAACACTTGGAGAGAATATTTACAAAATGAAACCGTAGCTTGACTGAGGTGAGGATCAAGGAATTTAGAACACTACTAAATCACTTTTAATGCCACTAGAGGTCAGCACTAGTCATTAAATAAATGTCCTGGAAAAATCTTATTGCCAGTTTTTCAAAGGGAGTGGAGATTTTTTTAAAAGATACACGGCTGTCTGTGCTTGTTTTGCAGGTACGTGTGAACTCACACTGCTAGTGCTCCAAAATGGTTGGGAGCAAACCCTTTCTTCTCCATCCTGTGCTTCCTCAGCACTGTCTGTCCCACAACCCCAGCAACAATCCCACACTCTTCCCTTCAAGCTGTACCTGCCCTCGGATGCTGTAGCACTGCGTACAGTCAGGAGAGAAAGACAGTACTGAGCTCTGTCCCAGCAAAGGCTTCCCACCAGCACAAACAGCCCAAACCAGTTAACAATCAGCACCCACTGCTTGAAGGACTGTCTCAAAAGCCTGCCAGTGGGGAATTATGCCCAAAGACAGGCACTTGAAACTGGGGCTAACTCACAGTGCTCATCCACCTTGTGCTTCAGCAAGATGCTTCCTTTCTATTGCAACTCCTAACTGTGTTTTCCATCATCACTGTCTGGGCTTTTGCAAACACAGACACTGTTTACAAAATTTTAATATAGCTACTATTGATATGCAATCGAATACAGAATTTCCTTTGCTATAAAGAAGATCATGTTGATGGGATAAGCAGTGTGATCATCATGTTTTTAAACAACCTTTAAAAAATCTTTATCTTTGTTGAAACCTGCTAAATGATGCAAATCAGTTGGCAATCATAATGCAACAAATGTGTGTGATTTATTAACATGCTGAAATCTGTGCTTTCAGCAGATATCACTGTCTCCTTTAACACGGTAGCTGACTAGGTGTCAATACACAAAGTTCATGCTCAGTGTAACAGGAACACCTCTTTTACCAAAACTTTCACGTTCAGTCACTTTCTATCACTTTTCTTCCACTGAGTACATCAGAGCTGGAAAAAAGAAGGATGGACACATTGTTTAGAATGATTATATCTCAACTAAAGTATTTTGTAATATTTTGTGTCTGTATACATGCACACAGACAGATGATTTATTTTCCTTCTGGTTTTTTATTTGTTTGTTTTTTCCATGTTTAAGAAAATTGGCTCTGAAATATCATCCCGACAAGAATCCAGACAATCCAGAGGCTGCAGAAAAATTTAAAGAGATCAATAATGCTCATGCAACACTGACTGATCTGTCCAAGCGGAACATTTATGACCAGTATGGATCATTAGGGCTCTATGTGGCAGAACAGTTTGGTGAGGAAAATGTTAACACCTACTTCATGCTCTCAAGCTGGTGGGCAAAGGTAAGCTGCTATTTTCTGTTGGAAATCCAAGTGTTACAATGCACACAGACAATTACATACACAAGAAACCCCCTGAAAAACATGGTCTCTCTATAGGCTTAACAAACAGTAGGATCTGAATCTAAACTGCTAGTTAAAAGCTTAATTAAACAACAACATTATCTGGAAAATCAACATTGGCAGGATGTAACATCAGCTCAGAAAAGCGCTACTGTAGAACGTTTTCCTTTTAGACTTGGTAAATAGTTAAATAGAGTCCATTTTTTGTAACACTTTCAAACATTAATTAGATTTGAATCTAGTGCTCCAGGTTAATTTTGACTTTCTTTTCAGTAATGACTAAATAAAAATGACTCATTGTTCAAAAATGAGAAGTCCCACTTATGTGACAACCAGCTAATAAGTTATTACAGTACAAATTTAGCTGTGTTCTTTGCTACATACAGCACACAGCGTAAGTGAACAAGAATAATACGTAATGCTCTGTGATTATGGTGTCATATATGTGCCGTGGTGAGGGGGTGAGAAAAAGGAAGAAAAGATGAGAAGGGTGGAGTGGAGGAATAGAGTAGGAAAGGAAGAGAATGATACATCAAAAACTGGCATATTGATCAAGGAAAATTACATCATGGGCTGTTCTCGTCATAAAGGGAGTTGTGTTCATGTGGTCTCTTACGTCACTGGTGTCCTCCAATGTTTGCATATGTCAGATTCGAGTGTTTCAGCAAATATTGAAATGTTACAGAAATGTAACAAATCAACAGAATTGCAAATGTACAAAACCCATGCTGTGCCCACCTATTTCCAGCAACAGAAGCACAGGAAAGCAAGGACTCTGCTGGAATACATAGGAAAATGATCTGTACTGCGTGAGGCAATCACACCATGATGGTTTTGATCTGAGAACTGTGGAACATGGATTCCTGTGTTCAGCACGGATCAGGCCAGTGCTTCACTGCCCCGCAGTCCCCTTGCAAACCGGGAAGTCACTTGGGCAGTTTGTGGGTCTGAGAAGCCAAAGTTTGTCTGCTGAATCAGGATGAGATGGAAGCTGCTCAAATGCAGAACAGGGAATGAAACGAATGAATGCACAAAGGCACAGTTGCACCCTCAGAAACAGGCTTGTACCCAGCTCCTGCTGCAGGCTGGACTCCCCACCACAGCCGCTGTCTTCTTCTGCTAGATGACTCCCTCTTTTCTTTGCTGTCCACCCTCTCCTTCAGCCTTTCTCACAGTCCAGATGCCAGGAAGCATTGCCTTAGAGCTGAGAGAGCAGCAGCATTGACTCCTTTAACAGTCTTGCTAAACAAGGTTTTCTTCACCATTTGTTGCTTTTTTAGCTTTTATTTTCTCTTCTGCTTACCGATCTTTAACGGAGGTTTTATGAAGTACAAAATCCTTTGCGGTTAGAAAATCAGGAACAGAAATAACCGCTGTGGCTTTGACTCATAAGGAGAGCACTGGCAAGTACAGAGCGAAGCGAGTAAGTCCCTAACAGCTAAAGGAGGAATGTGTGGTTTCTCTCAAGAAAGCTGGAGGTGAAGTGAGATACGCTGAATATCCCAGCAAAAGTAATCACCGCTTCCTGTTTTTTAAGAATTCTGTGCAAAAAAGTCCAAAATATGCCCATAGACTCATTTGAGGATTGTCGCAGGTGGTCTCTCTATTCCTCCCCCAACCCAGAATCTTGCGACCTCCAAAGCATAAACAGGCCACCAAGTGTTTTTGTAAGCTGAGCTCACTATTCCTCATCTCTTTTTAACTCATGCACAAATCCTGGGTCAGTTTCAGATTTTTATATTGGCCATCATAATACTATTTGAGTCTGAGGCATCATCTGCAGATGGCCTCTGGACCCCTGCTTTCCTCCTTTCTGGTAGAAGACCACAGCTTTGCTCGTTATCTTCCCCTTCAACTACGAACATTCTGGTAAATCCACTTCCTATCACACTCAGAAAATCTGACAACTGTGAGGAGGTGTATCATTAGAAGTAAAGGAACTCAAATGAAAGGAGAAATGCAAAGTGAAAATTACTTTTTTTCAGAGTGCCAGACTTCTTAGCAGGCATATTGCTGGGAACATACTGACATGGGTAATGGGAACTTTAACTGCTTCTCCACTGGCAGGCATAGGTGCTATTCGTTTACCTGTTTTAGCAAAAAGCAATTATCCCTCTACCGTGAAGACATCAATAAATTGATTCTTGATTTACCAACTATGATAACGTAAGCACAAGAAATCTTGAAACATTTAATATATCATGAATAAATTCAAGTATTTTTTCCCCTCTATACATCTTTATTCTGTCTTTTTTCATTCTATCCATTCTGGTGATTTATTCTTCATTATGGCATAAATGATAAACAGCCCAATAACTTATTTTAGGGGTTACAGAATTTAGAACAGGTTTGGGTGTCTGTTGGAAGGAAAATATTTTAAAAGAAAAAGTCAGAGTCCTTTTCATTTAAAACCACCTTGTTCACTCTTGATACATGCCTATATTAATATTAGGCATGTCAATAGTTTTATCACCTTCAAAGATGCTCCAGTCGGCCCCCACTAACAATGCCTGAGACGTGCATACAAAACTGAGTGTTACTTACATAGCTTCATTGCCAAAGTTTGGCAATATCCTGACATTTGTGCTTGCTTTCTTCCTCAGCAGCATGTTTTCTTATGAGTGTAACAAATAGTAAAGGGCAGACTGTATAACTATAATGCTAGCCCGGCTGTACCTTCAAGTTAACTTAGCTATAGCTGGTGGCCACAAAGCCGTGCTGGCTTTACATAAGCATTCCACATATCCACCTTGATTCCCCTTTCAGGATCGTTACTGGCTTTCCTTTACTCTTACACCACTATGTCCATGATGACACGTGGAGGTTTGTCCTTTGCCACAAACATCTCGGTGAAGGCCTGGATCTGCCCTGGGTCAGGAGCCAGGCTGCCGTCACACACCCATGGAGCACAAGGTGGCAATGCCAGCCTAAGTGCTCCCCTTCTGCAGCTCCCCATCACACTGCCACAACATGGCATGCAGCCCCCAACATCTGTAAATTAAAGTTTTCTGGCTGTTGAATCTGTCTGGGATTTCTGGTCTCGGCCCCCAGGTAGTTGTGCTGGCTCTGCTGAAGCCTCCGCACTTTGTGCCACAGGGACAGCAGTGAGCAGAAGGCGATGCAGGTGGGAACTTCATGCTGCTTGAGTCCCCAGATCAAGAAACCACAGCTCAAGGAGTCTAATTTAGGAGTTGTCACCTCTGTGCTCCTGCACAAGCTAATGGGAGAGAGAGAGACACCCCCAACGGGCAATTCAAGTCCTGGGACTGAATCACACTCTGGAACTGCTTTCAACTTACCATTGACTAAGGGGAGCCCGTGGGGGCTACAGTCCTAATTTGAATGCCTTAGTTCAGTGCCTAAAGTTATGTGGGATTCATCTGGGTCTTTGCTTTTTCTTCTCTCAGCTTTGTTATTGATGAGAACCAGCCAGTAAATAAGTGTTTGCAAAGACAGTCTTGGGCAAATGACTCATTTTTAAGATGGAAATGAGTCATTTTAAGGTGGGTGGGGTTTTGCATACCTCCTGGAAGTTTTTTCTGAGGGCCGTCAGCTGAAGACAGACTTTCAAAAGCTGAGTGTGCGGAGGCCTGTTGGTTGGTGTCTTCTTTGTGGATGTGGTCCTGAGTGGCAAGTAGGAGTTGGTGGATGAGGAGGACTCTGGAAGATCTGGCCCTTGTTTAGGAGTTTGGCCAGTGGCTGGACTCCTCTGAGTGCCAAGCGCTTGGGAACATGGGATCCTTCGATGACCTGCCTTCAGCTGTAAGAGGCTGCCGTGAGTTTCAGGAAGGTCATTGCTCATGAGGTTTTCCTCCCACTGTGTTTAACCCAGGGCCTGTTTGCAGTCTGTGGCCTGCTGCCAGGCTGCTCCCTCTGCTGCTGCCTCTGCTGCTGCTTCAACTGCTGCTGTGGAAAGTGTAAACCCAAAGCACCCGAAGGGGAAGAGCAAGAGTTTTGTGTGTCTCCAGAAGATTTGGAAGAGCAGATTAAGAACGACATGGAAAGAGGTGTGTGTTATAGGGGCTCACTGTGTGGCAAAGCTGTTCAAAACAATCTTTAAAGCCTGTAGGCCAGATGTTCTGCTCACGATGCTGAAGCTGCTTCCAGATATCAGTGGAGACATGCCAATTCACTCCAGCTAACACCATGATCTGATGACCATGACCAAGTTGTGTGTTAATGAAAAAACTTATGGCACTAACAATTAAATATCTCCTGTATCTCTTATGAGTCACTTAAACATTAGAAGTCTCAGGGCTCATCTTAAGAGATGATATTCACCCTGTAGCCCCCATGCCCATGTTGCTTCATATCCTAGATCCTGTACTTGTAGATAAGGCTCTGCCTGGACTCGTGCTTGCCACATTTGATCTGCCTGAATAAGCTGTCATTTGGGTTTTATTCACATAAAATTTATCACTGACTGCGATGGGCCAACTGTACCCATTCATGAAAAGGCTTCAAGAAAAGATGCAAAGTTTCCAACAGTAAGGTTGTGCAGTAACCTGTGAGAGTTTGCATGGGAGCTGCCGTGGTCCTGCCCCTCTCCCATCGAGCCCCCAAGCTGCTTGCTCTCTTCTGCACTGGCAGTAGCAATTGTACTGCTTTACCAGGACCCAGATCTTGGATATGATCCAGGTAAAAAGTAATCCTCTCAAATGTGTGTAGTTCCCTGCCCATTTAACTCCCTGCCATGCTTCACAGTGGGGCAGGCCAAGTGCTAATGCTGGCTTAAAGAAAGGAGCAAGAGCACACGGCCAGGAACACAGGCTTGGGGGAGCAGGACTTCCCTCACAGCAGGTCACCCTCTTTTCTCGGCTTTGCTGCATCCCCCAGCTGCACACTCAGGTTTTGGTTATACCAAAGAATGATGGTGGTGATTTCCTAATTTGGCACTAGCATGGGTTACATGTTTTGAAGAAAGAGCCCTGTTCTAATCAGCTAAAGTGGGACAGAGTTTTGCCTTCATCTTCAGGGGAAGTGGAAACATCTCAGGCTGGTTAGATTTGGACACTTGCAGGACAGGCTGAGAGAGGCAATGATCCTTGCTCCAGCAATAAGAGGCCAAAATATCAGGGTAAGACCTAGGCTACTTTCCAGTTTCAAATTTATATAAATTATGATTAGGATTCCACTTTTTTATGAGGAAGGACCTAAGCAGTCAGCTCACTCTTTTCCTCTTCCATTGTTGTGGAAAGTCTTACGCTGTTATATCCTTACGTTTATTATGCTTAAATTAGCACTGCCAGATTGCAAATGCCATGTTCCTTTAGCAGGAGGAGGTTTTTTTCCCCCCAACTTTTCACACAAATTTACCCTTCCTTAAATATGTAACAAAACACTTGTAGTAGTTGAAACAAATGCTATTTATATAACTGATATGCCAACGTGTGGTGGTGTTTTAAAATTGGGTTTGCCTAGAGGCATATCAAGGTAAATACAGTCAGCTTAAAAACTGATTGTACTTGATCAGTCTCTGCAAAGGGAACAAAAACTATTAGTGAACGCTTTATAACCCCAGTGCATTATTTGAAAAAAAATATAATGTACTTACGACATTAGGCACCTGAAAAGTGCAAATCTAAAATGGGTCTTGACATTTATGGGTCTATGACACCAAAGCCAAGTTTGAAATATGAAGAGGGAACTTTGAAGGATGAGGATTTTCTAATTCTGCCTTTTTTGTAACTCGGCAGATATTTTGCTCTTTCTCAAAAGCCAGCACAAAATTCCACAGTGGCAGAAAAAAAAAAATTCTCCCTGCTTCCAGCACAGTGGTATTTATTAGCGTTCAGTAATTTTAGGCCACATTTCCATCCCTTTTTTCCCACGAAGTCTCATTGAGATATCAATTTTTGAAAGTAATTTAGAATGTTAAGCAAAGTACCAGTCTGAAAAATTAACAGAATATGAAATTCCATGTGTTAAGTATTTTAAAGACAGTATTAAATATATAGGTAGGGCCTGGAGAAAACTAGATATTTCTACCATTCCTACACTTCTCTTCAGTCTTGCTACATTTTCCTACCAATGAAAACCAGCTTGTCTCAGTAGAGTAGAATTCTCTATATTTTAAAACTAGATGAAAAGAGAGCAACATGTCCGGAATAAAAGTAAAAACTTCATGACAGAGGATGATGTGAGCATCTTTTCTGCAGCTGAAAAGAAAATAGACATTGCATTTAGAACAATTAATAATAACCAGCTCAAACTGCACCTCCTCCGTCCCCCCAAATTTTAGGGATGCTAGCCAAAAAGATGAAGCTGACTTAGAATGGCAAAGATTGGGCTTTTCCACCAGACATTTTCAAATGTTGGGCCATAGAAATAAATACTCGTGGCTTCCTTTATGTAAATAATAGAAATGCTCCTGTGGGTAATTCAGAAACAAACTGTAATCACTTCTGCAGCAGATTTCATTTTGGAAGAGGAAATCCTATTAGGATCCAAATTCTTTGCATGCCCTCTGCCCACAGACTGAGCATTCTACCTGGTAATTAATTTCTTTGCTTCCTGCTGTCCCCAGTATCTTATTATTGCTAGCCAGAACTTTTTTTGCTCAGGTCAAAATGTAGATTCTCAAGCTAAGGCCATACTTCAATTTATCCAAATATTTTGTAGTCAGTCATTGCTTTTCTGAGGAATGCAACATTGATAAAACATCAGCACTCCTGATGCTAAAAACCTCTGCGAGCGCGTCTCCACCAGTTGTTGCTGTGCTCAGAGGGAGCTGCTTGGAGCCAGCTGTACTGCACAGAGAGGCAATGTGCAAGTTGTGGGAGTCGAGATTTAGACTTCATCTTTTGAGCTGGCACAACAGTAATAATTTTCAGAGTCCCTCACATTTCTCCTTAACCAAATTAAGGTGTTACACAGTTGATTTCATTCCTCAGATTAACATACCACAAAACATAATTATTAGTGAAAAAAAAGAGGTGTGAAGCTAAAAATTCAGCAATCAGAATCATGCAACAGTTCGTCATTTTCACTCACACACACGGGGCAGGTTGCCAGGTTTTGCTTCCACTGAAGTCAATGGCAAACCTTTTGTTGACTTTTGTGTTCCCGGAGGAGGAGCAGTTGGAATTTGGATTGCCCTGGTACTTCAGGCTGTGATGATGCACTCAAGCAGTTTGACAGGTTTGTTTCCTGCTCTTTGGTTATCATCGTAAGAACAAAACAAGGCATTTCTAGACAAACTTTAATTTTATAGAAAATGAAACCTGGGAGAGGAAAAAAAAAAAAGAAAAAGAAAAAAAGAACATGAATAACAAAATACTTTCCCAACTCAGAAGAAATAAGTTTTTAGCACTTCATTGTCTCCTCCACACTCCATATGATACCAACGTAGGCGAACAGTGAGCAAGAGCTATCTATAGAAAGCAGTTCAAACTGTGAATTCTGCCGCACCTCCATTCTGCAGCTCTCCATTAGCAGGCTATATTTGTACAGTTTATTATACCATGGGTCCCTGTTCTGATAAAAACCATCATAAATCTTAGAAGGGTGTGGGCAGCAAAATACTTGGGGAAGGTGTCAGCTCAGAAGTGTCTGCAGATCGGCTGGAAGCAATGCGACAGATTTGCAGTGGGTCCTGTTCTCTTGCTGCACACCTGGGTATCGCAGCAAAATGAACTGCTAGCCTCTGCCCTCCATCAACAATCTTCCTTAAAATGAACAACTTGGAGGCAGCAGAGGGTGGGAGGGAGTGCTGCTCAGAAATCTAGAAAATACATTGCAACTTAAAAATGGATTGGAACTGCCAAACTAATCTGCGCCAGAGCTGAGCTCTAAGCATTAATTACTCATATATTTTCAGAAGTTATGAAACATGTCTGCCTTTGACCTTGCGTCTAAATACGGAATTGCCCATACAGAGAAGCTGCTTGGCATTTAATCATTCTTGCCTTTCACCTTGACAGTCAAAGTTGTTCTACCCCCACCGAGGGGAAGCCGTATGGCATGCAATTAGATTCCTGCTCTGGGTTAAGTTACTCCTGTACATTACATCTTTTGCCCATGATTCATCCCATCAACTGCCATGTAAACAGGAGGAAATGTCAGGTGAGTTTTTTTCTGAACATTCGGTCATTTGGCTAAAAAAGTCATCATTTGTATTCAATGGCTGCGAAGGCTGTGCTAGTATCAAGATATAGATAGTCCAAAATTTTTCATATGAAAACACTTCACTCAGATGCCTGAACCTTTAAAAGTCAGTCTCTGAGCCTTGAGTCCCCTCCTCCACCCCCAAAAGCGGTGGGTTGGAAAGAGGCCCAGGAGAAGGGCAGCCAAACCTTGTTCATTAGCAGAGGGAACACAACAGCCGTCAGGGAACTCTGTTAAGGACTTTACTTTCCTCCACTCTACAACAAATGCATTTTTTACAGATATATTAGGAAACCAAACGCATAACTGCATGGAATGAGAAAGTACAAAGCAATAAGGATTTATATAGTGATAATTTTTGGCAGTTCCGAGCTCATTAAAACAGTAATTCTCAAAATCCTATTGTATATATATTACATAAGACTTCAAAATGCAATTTAACATTTTTATTTAATTAGCTGGCTTTCAGGATATATTTGATTTCTCCCCTCTCAAGTAAATTACTGCTCATGCATTCTTTTCCTTTTAACTCTCTTCTTTCTTTACTGTTAACTGTGCCCTCTTCAAGACTCATTTCTGGACCATTCTCACAAGCGCCGTCAAGGTTAGTGCTTGCTGACTCACAACAGAGCTCGTTATATTCAGACATTTGCAGGAACAAGCACTTGCAGTTGGAACAGGCAGGGACCCTTATCTTGCAATCCCTGCAAACCACCAGGTACAGCTAATGTCCAGTTCAATAACAACAGCAATAGTCACCCAGAAATCTGCCATTACATGTGGACAAGGAGTAAGAGCGTTTGCAGGCTGGGTGTGGGCATTGCTGCCTCTTCAGTATGCACACAGCTGTCTGTGAAGCCAAGATGAAGCTGTAGACAGAAGAGCAGATGAAATGTTGTGGTAGTAACACGAAACCTGACTTCGGTAGCAAGTGAAGGATTCTTAAAAAGTATTTTTTGTCTTCCTCCCCAATTTAGATGGAGAAACTCCTATCGTCCTTCAGCCGACTAACGCAACTGAGAAGACACAGCTAATAGGGGACAGCCATCGGAGCTATCACACAGACTCCTAGAGCGGGCAAACATGACCTGTTGATGCTTCCCACTGAGCGTGACAGAGAGAAAAAAAATATGTGGTAAGCTGTGCAGCCTGTATTTGTAGTTATCTTTAAGCTAATCAAGACTAACCTGAGAGTAATTTCCTGTTAAGGCAGAATCTCCCTGTAGGCTACTTCAAGTAGGTGATATCTACACTCTGCAAGGAGGTACCTATGGCCAGTACAGAGCTCTACCAGTCCGGCACACTGGTCTCTCACAGCTTCAAACTGACAGGCTCGGCACAGTCTTTCCCTCTAATAATACTCGCTTTGGTAGGACTGCTCTCCTCCCTGCCCTCAGCTGAAGTTTCACTTCCCATACACAGCCCCCAGCCACTCTCCAGACACACCGGCTCCGTCTCACCCTGCCCCCAGAATGCATCCAGCTTTGCTGGATGTGAAACATTCCTGTGAGGGAGCCCTAGAAATGCTCTTTAGCAGACCTCAGAGGGAAAGTCGGTGGCAAGGCAGACGGGGCTGTCCTTCCCAGAGAGGAAATGCTCTTTGGGCCAGGACAAAGTCCCCAGGGATCATTCTGCTGCTGGTTACAACGCAGGTCACTCCAAATCCACGAGCCTCACCCAGCACCGGACGCACAGATAGGCTCTGTGTCCTCCCCTGCGCAAGCTGCAAACCCAGGAGCCTGTGGGCAAACACCCTATGGAGGGGGAGGCTGGCCCTGGGCTGCCCCAGAGCCTCTCTCCTCTCCCCACAGCTGGTGACAGTCCTATGGCAAAGCTCCCCCATTCCAGCCTGGGTGGGCTTGCCGCCCATGCCAGTCAGCCCTGGCTTCTCCATCTGCAGCTGCAACGTGCTGGAAATTGGTCACCAGCCAACATCTTTCTGCTGGCTTGCTTATTCCACCGTGCCCCCTGGCTGCCAGCCCTGCTGCCCCGCAGGCACTGGGCTAGGAGCCATGGTGCCAGCACTGGCACCGGGGCTGCGGGAGCAGCAAGGACTTGGCAAGGTAGGCGAGCAGCAGAGGAGCGACCGTCCTCCTCACAGCCTGGCTCATGGGGGTGAGCCCGGTCCTCCCCTCTGCCCCGGGCACAGGGGCTTTCAGAGCGTGATTTTAAATATAGATGTAGGAGGGAGATGTACGTTCAGGTATACCGCTGCACAAATCAGTGGAGATAGCTGTGGTGTGGCTAAGCCCAAGCATGAAGAAATTGGGCCTCTAATTTGTAAGAGCTAAAGAAACACCTCTGAGATCTTAAACAGCATGTCACTGGTTTGACATAGTAGTTTAAGCCTTAGACAGCTGAATTTCTTTTTATTGATCATGTTACATCAATCATTGTCAGTTCTGTGCATTTGCTATTTTTGGTCCTCTAATCACAGTGCTGCGGTCCAAAGGGGGACATAATGTACCACTAAATTATATAGACCAGTGAATATATAGCTAGTCAAAAGTGTTACTCCCGTCCTTAAAATTGGATTCTGCGGTTGTGAAACATTATTGTCTCCCTTCTCTTCTCACCTTTCACATCAAATGTCATTCAGTGGCAGCTAGATATATGGGAAAAGAGCGTGTTGCATCGCACCAGCTGTAACTCAAAGTCAAGAAAGAATACTTTTAACATTTCTTTAAAGTTCCCATAACACATGGACATTTAAAAAGCCATTAATCCCAATTCAGGTTATGTATCCGTTCTCCAGGCACAGGCACTGGCACCAGCTAACGCACACAATGCCCTCAGAAATAGATCTGGTTTTCCGCTTCAGAGAAGAGGGGAGGTCCCGGCACGGCTGGGGCTGTGGGCCAGCACTCCCTCCCCTCCTACCTACAGGCTCCTCTTTGTCTTCAGTTGTGTCTTGCAAATAAATTTGGAGGCCCCTCATATGTAGGTAAAGCCAGACGGCTGTCCTGCCTGCCCAGCGGTCCTTATCTTGACACACAAGCCTTTTGATACATCTTTCTCTCCCCTGTCCTGTTAAGAGGGGAGCGACAGAGCGGCTTTGGTGGGTACCTAGAGTCCAGCCAGGGTCAACCCATCACAACATCTTTTGGCTTTCCTCGCTATTCCCTTTTGCACAGTGTTTACTCTGGTGAAAGATGTTATCACCCAACAAGTAGGGAGAGCATGTGACAAATCTGCAGGCTGAGTGATAATTGTTAAGTTTTGCTGTCTGGTAGAGACATTCGCTGTGAAAGTGTGCACATGCTACGTAGTGACTATTTCCAGCAAAGATGGAAAAGGCGTTCGGAGAGAAGTCAAGTCTAAAGCTACACCTTATACATGGAATCCTTTCCCGTGTGAAATCCCTCCTTCTGCTCCCATGGAAGTCACTAAGAATTGCACCCTTGGTTTCAACAACAGCTACAGGTCAGGCCTAAAGCCAAGGAGGGAAAGGTTAGCAGATTAGCAAGAGCAACTGGGGAATTTTTTCACATGCAACACCTTCGATGTCTCTCCGGACCCCAATCCATGGGCCAGAGCCAAAGTTTACTGAAATCAAGGAAATTATCTCCATGGGCTCAAGATGTACCATAAGTCATGTGGTTCTTATTCACTATTTCTAAAGGAGAGGTTTTTCTTGGGAAAGATTTATGACTCGGTCTTGCAGTGTGCTGCAAAGGTGGACAAGCTGCTGCATGTTTGCAAAGCCCTTTTCCTGACACTGGGGATCTGTACAGAAGAGCCACAATGTATTATCTCAGTTAGCCAAAAACCTCAGAACAAACCAATGACCAAGGCTCTCAGTGGGTTCTCCAGGACTTGCACCTTAAATATCTGAGTGTCTGAACCCGTGGTTTAATTCCAGAGAGGAAACTTTCGGAGTACCAGAGCATTTGCTGCTGTCAGGATTAGCTATTCTGAGGGCACGTGGAGAAAGGATGAATGAGGATTTCAGGACTTGGGTCTTCAATGTAGCTTTACCCATTTGTTTGCGTTTCAGAAAAGTTCCTAACATGAACATGGCTAGGCTTACTTGATCTGTTTCTGTGTAAAGTTCAGCTGCACACCCATTAATCTTCTCAAAATGTAGGGATCCTCAAAATTTTGTTCTGTTTTGCTGCGTTTATTTCCATGTAAGGTACTATTGAAATCTACCTTCGCCGTCAACCACTCTAACTAATAAAGGTTGTATGTATGAATTGTAGCACTCCCTTTATTTTTCCACATGATCAACATCTTCATTCCGGTAACAGCTAGAAAAGCTCTTGAGACAGCTGTCCAAAATTACGGCTTTGCACCCTGACAAGTGGCAAGCGGCAACTCAGGGTTTCCCCAAAGGGCAACTGGGCCTTGGACTGCAGCAGATGCACCTACCTACGCAAAGCAGCCGGAGCTGTAGCTGCACATTGCAAATCTTTTATACAATGCAGAATGCTTGTCTTAAAAAAAATCAGCAGCGTGATGAAGTGGTAGAACCCAGTAGTTTTACTGGCATCAGATCCTACACGGGGCGGTTTCCCCCAGCACAGGGTGCGTGCAGAGAGCGAAAGCGGGATGCTGCTGCGGACAACAGCAGACGTCCCCATCACCTTCCCTGGGGCCGGCGTCTCCCTCAGGGGGGTTGCAGCTGTCCAAGAGCCAGCACAGAGGGCCAGGTAGCCTGGGCCTGCTACGGGGCAGGAATATTTCCTCACTAGGATGCTATCCAGGCTCTGTGACCGCAGAAGCCCAAGCATTTGAAAAATGGATAAGGGGCAGCTCTTTTGGCTGGATGTATTCTCAAAGTGCTGCCCTTTTGAGTGCTTAGATCTTAACTGGGTGGTAGCCAACACCTACAAGATAATCTCAGAGAGGCGCTGGTAAAGACGTGCAATTTCCCACTAGCGGAGAGAGGTAACACGTGCTAAGTATCACCCGGCCGCATTTGAAAATGTTTTCCTATTGTGGCAGTATGTAAATGTATAGGTACTTCTGGAAAAACAGTGTCTAGACGTTTTGGGGAGAGGAGGTTTTGAAAAAAAAAAAAACCCAAACTCAGAATTTCAACATCCTAATTAACTGCGATGAGACTGAAGGGATCTCAGCAGGTATCCTCCTGCACTAACTTGCTTCGTGAGGGCTTGTGGTTAAGTCGGAGTAAGGACAACGTACATCTTTTTTTTTTTTCCCCTTTAAAAATTAAC